AGACCTGAAGCTCCTATGCAGCACTGTGCTAGAAAGGTGAGTGTCATGCCCTGACTTTGTACCTGTGTGTCAGCTTCATGGTGGTGAACGAGGGTAGCAGAATGCATTGCCCGGCTGGCAGCTGTTGCTGTAACCTGATGTGTCTGAGCAATGCCCCAGAAAACTATCATGGGCTGGTTGTGACACATGTGCAAGCCATTTCATCTGCTGCAAAGACTATGGGTCTGACATATTGTAGCAGCTTTTTCCTAACAGGATGGTTATTAACCACACACACATACAAAAAAGCTTCAACCCATCAGGTCAAATGCCTGCTGGAACAGAACAGTCTTGGTCAAGCAGTGAGAAGCCAGGGGAGATAGAGAGCAGAGACACCTCCATAGGAAGCTGCCTTGCACAGAGTCAGGCCATTGGTCCATTTAGCTTAGTATTGTCAACACTGACTGGCAGCAGCTCCCCAGGATTTCAGACAGGGGCCTGTTTGGAGATGCCAGGAACCGAACCTGGGACCTTCTGAACACAAAGCAGATGCTCTCCCTCTGAGCCACCTCCCAAAGCAGGGAGCTTCACAATCGAACTGAGGTGCTGTTGAAGCATAGCAGGACAAAAGGGCCTCTCAGCCTCACAAGAGGCCATGAGGATCTAGGGCTCTGATTCTAAAAGTTGGCTTATTAATATTATCCATTGGCATCTCCTTTTGTTTGCTCTTGCACATTTATGCAGGATTAGGTGTTTGAAGGCTACAAGTGGTTTAAATGAAGCGGTGGTTCTTAATGAGAAGAGCTTTCTCTTGGCCTGACTCAGCTCCCAGAGGGGTTGTTTCCCTCCAAAATAGCCTAGCATACAAAAAAGCACCTTTCCCTACACAGATCAACAGCTAAGATGCCTAACCAACCTCACAGGGTTGTTGTGGGGATTAAATGATGAGGGGGAGACCATGGATGCCGCCTTGAGCTCTTTGGAGAAAAAGCTGGGATATAAAGGCAATAAATATACAACAACAACTAATGCAGCACCCACACTTCTAAAATATTTCTAGACAACAGATGGGTATGGTGTGCCTTCTGAAACAGAAAATGAAAAGGGGTGTGCGTGTGTATTGGCTAGTATCCCTCTTCCAACGAATGACCCATTGAATGGCAAGTGACATCAGAAGGTAAAACAGCCTGCCTACCTGCTTCCCATAAGCAAGAGCCTTGCCATAGAGAGTGAGGCCTGCGGTTAGTTTCTCCATCTTCTCTTCTTCATTCACCAGCCCAACGTCGAAGGCATAAGCATAGCCCTGCTCAGCCAAGCAACGGGCTGTTCTGAGCTGGGGGTCCCCTTGCGGCTTGTGGTCTTCTGAATCCAAGCCCATTAAGAGGGAGAGTCTTTCGGTGCACCTAGCCTCTTCTTGCTCGTTGTTCAGCCTGTCATAAACGTAGGCGAGGTTGGCCCAAGTGTTCAGATTCTCAGGGTTCTCCTGAGAGATGCAGAGGAAAATCTCCTTGGCTTGCTCCACTTCTTCCAGGTAGAAAGAAAAGACCCCAAGGAGGTTTCTGATGGCATACTGCTGCAAGCCAGTTTCGAGCTCTAACTCATAGGTTAGGCTTTCTCGTTTCAGCTTCAAGTCTCTCCCTTGGAAATTCATAGGTGAAGAAGACTCAAAGTTCAAGTTCATATCTAAGTGAAAGTGACCTGGAATGTAATCCATCTCGTCAATGAGAGTATCAATGTCCACCTCGGCTTCTTCCATTTTCACGTTGGAAAGAGTATCAACCACTCCAGGCTCTCTCGAACAGCTACTTTCCCCTGTTATTTTTCCATTCAAGACGTGGTTTTTTTGCTTGTTTTTTTACTGTCCTGTCAGGATATTTGCCTTTGGAAATCCTCCACCTCTTTCTCTACCTGTATTTCTGGTTTAGCTGATTCACATGAAGTCTGGGAAGGGAGGAGCAAAATAGAACGCTTGTCATTCCACAGCCAACCAGCTGGTTCAGGGTTCTCATTTGGTCAGTGAATCGCAGAAAGCAAAGACAAGAACTGCTTAAGCAACCCCTCATTTGTCAATAAAGGAGAAAGCTCCAGGTCCTGGAAGGCTACTGGTGTATGGCAAATACAGTGATCGGCTCCTTTGAACAAACTTGCATTTCAAGTACGTTATTAACATGCCTTTGAAAAGGCTAGCAGTGGGGAGAGCAAATGGTGCTTCACCCCAGCTACCCATAATGCCAACCCATTACGAGAAATGCTTTAGAATATCAAGTTTGGAACTGAGTGGGATGCAACCTAGTACAAACCATATTGTTGCACAGCACTCCAATCTCCAAGCAGTGCAAGATCCCAGAGTTTCTGGGAACTTACCCAGGGTTTGCATTTCCTTTTGGAAATGAGACACAGCGGAGACTCTAAACCACTGAGCCTCTTGGGCTTGCCGATCGGAAGGTTAGCAGTTCGAACCTGCGCGATGGGGTGAGCTCCTGTTGCTGTCTCATCTTCTGTCAACCTAGCAGTCTGAAAGTATGCCAGTGCGAGAAGATAAATAGGTACCACTGCGCTGGGAAGGTAAATGGCACTTCCGTGCGCTCTGGCTTCCATCATGGCCAGAAGCGGTTTAGCCACGCTGGCCACATGACCCAGAAAGCTGTCTGTGGATGAACACCAGCTCCCTCGGCCTGGAAGCGAGATGAGTGCAGCACCCCATAGTCACCTTTGACTGGACTTAACCATCTAGGGTACCTTTACTATACTTTTCCCCAGTGCTTTTTTTCTGGGGGTATGCATACCCCTAAACATTTTGTGAATCTAAGTTTAGCCTCATTGAGGGGCAGTATTTCAATAGGAGTAGGAAAATGAGAGTACCCCTAAACATTTTTTTAGAAAAAAATGCACTGCTTTCCCCTACCTTACATATCTATACACAACCTAAGCCTACAATGGAGGGGTTCACAGCATTAGCGTCTCAAAAGGGCCTTGTTTCTCCCAAAGCTGCAGCCTTGGATTCAAGCAGAGATCAAACATTGTGCTCTGCCTCTCTGGCTGTCCAGCCTGCAGCTTAACTTTTAGGTCACATTGCACACACTTTCAAGTCTAATCTCTGGTTTTTGTCTTTCTTACTATCCAAGTAGTAGGAAAGGAGGGGCCCCACCCATTTGTCACCTGGCACAAAACCCCTTTTCTTGGTTCTCTTAACGGCCCATCACCTAAACACAGGAAGCTAGCCTGCCTTCTATTTTAACACTTGCTGGGCCCAGGGGTTAGAATGGGTCTGGCACCCAGTTTAACAATATCAGCCTTGATTAAATGCTAACGCTTGCTGGATCCAGGGGTTATAGGAGCCTGGCACCCACAAACTCACAGAAATATAAAAGACAAATTACCATTCCTTGTTCCTTTTCCCCTAGGGGTGGGAAGTTCCAGAGGTAGTCTTGGGTTTCCTTTGGAGAACCCTGGAGATTGATGGTGTCTTCATAAGAATTTTATTACTTGTATTGTGAAGACAAAAACATTCCTTCAGCAGGTAGGGCAGCTGCTAACCTTGCATCAGAGTGCAGCTGATACAGCCTCAGATTGCACCCCCATTTACCTACCTCCATCTAAAACAGGGATGGGGAACTGGATCTGTCTATCAGGTGATTGTACCTTCAGGTGTGAAGGAAAAAGCTCCCTTTGCAGCTGGAGCTCCTTAAGAAGACGCTACCTTTGCCTCCTTGGCTTGAATTCAAGCTGCAGCTGAAAATAACGAATCAGAAATGCACTCCTGCTTTTTCCTTTGCAGCCGAGACTTGGCTCTTTTCATATTTGGCATCTTTTGAAAGTGCCAGTTTTCCCTACCAAGGAAGAAATGAGGACCTCGTGGCTTGAACTTCTCCTGCTTGATGTCATATATGACAACAGACATGGGAAAGGTAGGTATGGCTTGGCAGTCCAATTTCTGAGGCCTAGCAGGCCTGAATAGTTCCATGGGGTTCCAAACCACTGATCTGAACTCTCAGCCACACTACCATCACCACCAGGCTGGGATGTGGATAGTTTCGGTTATCATCTTTCACTGCTCCCAACAGCAGAGTGTCTAATTCAGGCATAGGCCCTCCAGATGTTTTGGGACTACAACTTTCATCATCCCTGACCACTGGTCCTGTTAGCTAGGGATGATGGGAGTTGTAGTCCCAAAACATCTGGAGAGCCGAGTTTGCCTATGCCTGATCTAACTGCATGTGTGAGGAGATGCCTTTCTCCCAGTGATTAAAACACCTGGTACTACCTGGTCATGGTTGCTGGGGAGCTCTCATGGATGGGGGTGTTAGTCTCCTCTGTGGTCCCCACGGAACCTCTGAAAAGCGGCAGTTGAAACTGCCACATCAGCTGAGGCCTGGAGAGGGATAACTGCCACTATCACCTCCCCACCTTGAAGTTTATAAGTCACCACTACCTTGTCAAAGAACCTCGTTGTTGTATTATTTTGTACTATTATCACCTTTCAGTTACTGTCATCTAGCCTGGAGGCCACGCAGAAAGGTCTTCAGAATATATAATATAATATAATATAATATAATATAATATATACAATATATAGAAATCCTGGTGTATCATAAACATATAAATGATTCTTTATTTGCTGCAAAACTGGCTGCAGACTACAACTGTTTCTCTGCCTCTCCCTTTAGCTGAAAGGCGTTGGCTCCTGAAGGTTGGATGGAGGGGCCGATCCTTCCACATGTCACGATCAAGACAAGTGGTGACAGTCCTGAAAGAGCAACCGTTGTACACCACCTCTCCCACTCCCTAAACCTTTCCCATATTTTTACTTCAGCTTGCAGTGCGAGATAAACTGTGGAAGACTCTTATCACCTGGACATGCCCTAAATCACAACAATGTCCTTTTGTACCACATGGGATTTCTGGCACTGAACCACCACAGGTGCCTTCAGCACTGAGAAATCCTCATGAACATATCAGGCTAACTGAAGACCTGCTCCTCCCAGCCACTTGGAAACAGAAAGCCAAGCATCTAGTGTTGTCATGGCAGTGAAGTTCCAGAGCTCTTGTCAGAAGCAATCTCCAAGAAGGAAGGGGGTTGTCCTTCTTCTGCTCCAAGCATCAGAGGATGGAGGAGCCAAAGGGATTCACAGGTGCCCCCTTTTGGAGTCAAACGGCAAGGTAAGGGCTGCTCCCACAGGAATCGGGTTGGTTTCTTTTTTAAAAAATAAAAAAAAAGATTACACCTTCTCGAAGACAGGGCATAACTTGTGCTAGGGCTTATCAACGATCAGTCCTGAAAGACGGAAAATATAAGAGTCTCTGAGCATGTGGTGAGTGGCTTTCCCACTTGAGAAACCACAGCCATCCTTCCCTTAGGAAAAACACCAGAAGCCTTTCTTTTGGGAATTACAGACCTGGATATTCCCAAAAAAGCAAAAGAATTTTTTTTATATGCCATGGTGGCTGCAAGAGTTCTTATAGCAGCAAATTGGAAGAGTGATAAAATACCCTCAAAGAAAGAATGGATTTCAAAATTAGTGGAATATGCAGAATTAGATAGCCTGTCTGAAAAAATAAAGAACAAATCAAAACAAGCATTTATTTCAAAATGGGAAGCCTTTAAAATATACTTGAAAAATAATTATCCCAGTTTAAATTCTGTCGCAGCATTTGAATAACTTTAGTAGCAGTTTTAAGTTTGCAGTGAGAGATAACATAGTTCAATCGTATTTACATTTTGATCAAATGTATGGTGTAATGGCAGTAAACTAATGAAGATTATCTGAGGTAAGGAGTGGACAGGAAGTCGGGTCTATAGTAATAAGATCATTTTCAGTTTGTCATTTTGTGTTTAACATCGTGCTTAGGATTTTTTCTTTTGATGTAGATGTTGTTGAGGATGTTGTTGTTGTTATTGTCTTTTTCTTTTATGTTCTTGGGATGCTGTATGTGGATATCTGGTTGAATTTAAAAAAAATATGAGAGAGAGAGAGAAACTGGGATTTTGAGCAGAGGGCGCTCTTTTCTGGCAGCTTTGAGTAATGCAGGCATTTTGTGTTTTAAAAACCAAGCTACAGTTCATATACCACTTGTGTTCGTGTTACAATGCTTACAAATAATTCACCATGGATTTTAATTTTGCAAGAAATGTAAGTTGTCACATACAAATATTCACACAAGTATGGATCATATACAGTTTCTGTCTTGTAGATCTGTATTTATCTTGGTTCAAAGTCCATGTAGACATACCCTAAGTCACAATCCTACACAAGCAAACAAACATACCCCTGGACCTGCTCAGAACTGCATTCTGCGCATCACATCAACCTAGAACACAGATTTGTTGGCTCCTTAATAGAAGACAACTTCAACCGCACAAATGTACTCATAATAAGACATAATAGGGTTGTAGTTTCCTTCCATAGCGGGAGTGTGCAACCTGTGGCCTTGCAGATGTTTGACTCCATCATCCCAGAACATTGGCCACACTGGCTGGTGCCAATAAAATAATAATAATTATACTACTAATAATAATTTTATTATTTATTCCCCACCCATCTGGCTGGGTTACCCCAGAAACTTTGAGTGGCTTCCAGCACATATAAACACATCATAAAACATCAAACATTTTAAAAAGGAGTCCAACAACATCTGCAGGGTCACAAGCTGGGCGCCACTAATTCACACCTTAGAGGGCTTCCCATTTGCCTCAGCTGTTAGACACTTCAAATTCAATTCAAATGTTACTTCTATTACAAATGCTTTATCTCTGTAAGCACACCAGCTTGCCAGATGAAACAAACACCCCCTTTCATGTGCTGTTCTGGGGATCCTCCCAACAGCCCCTTGAACCAATTTCAGGGGGCAGGGGGGCATATAGGGGGAAGGATTTTAATGTAGATTACCCTGTGCCAGAATTCTGCAAGTCAGATCGAGCTCTGAAACAACCTCATACAGGGCTGGCCTTATCATTAGGCAGACAGGCAAGTACCTCAGGCAGCAGATGCTGGTAGATAAGGAGTGGTGCGAAGGTGTTGAAGGATCAAGTGGCATGTACCCCCTGCTGCCCTCAGGTATGATGGGGTGCTGCTGCTCATCATTACCAGGCAGCACTGAAGTAAGAGTCAAGAGCCCACCTGCTTAGCTTCTGTATATGGAAGTGGGGGGAGGGAGGGAGGGAGGCACCATCTTGTCCTCCAGGCTCCAAGTCAGGCAGCAAAACACCTGGACTGGTTCTAATCTTATAGACAGATTAACTGGAGACCAGGGCTTTTTCTCAGCTGGAATTTGCCGGAACTCAAGTTCCAGCACCTCTCAGGTGGGTGCCATTGCCCTTCTAAGAGAACAAGGGGAGTTCTGGCACCTCTTTTTCTCGAATAATAGCACTGCTGGAGACACTGAGATGCAGGATCTGGATTTTGAAGCAGCACTCTGCATCGTTCCAAACACAGGTTGGCTGCCTATATATACCCTGAAGCTATTATTGTGGTTATATAGCTAGAGTGTCAAAAATTGTTTTGAAAGCAACTGTGTTACATGACTTTGATTCAAATGGCCCCAGCAGGATCCTTCAGCTCTCCATATTTGTATTTCTCTGGCTAGATTTGATGTGTCAGCAATTTATCCAGATGTCAAGAGACCAAGTACTTACCTGCAGGCCCCATACACCAAAACGGTCTGCTCAGACTTGGTGAGTCTATATCTCAGGGTGCCTCACATGCACAAAGCAAACCTAGTCTTCAGTTTTACTGTATGCGTGGTTGAACAATATTTTTTTAATGTACAGTATTCCCTCCACCACCACCACCCCTACCCCGCATCTACTTTAGACCATCCAGAACTTTGTCTCCCACTATAGCTGCAAACTGACTATTTACAGAGGGACAATCTCTTGGGAGTTTGCTGTTGTGATGTTAAACTATTTCATTTGAGTAGTCTGCTCATAGAAGCAGTTGCTTGCATGCCACCCGTGTGGAGTATCATACAAGCCAATTTAGACGTACATTGCCTAGCCCTAGAGGGATTCCACTCCTTGATCATTCTAGAGCACGGTCAAGACATACTTGGCTTTTCTCTAATGAAATGGACTGGGACTCCAAGTCCTAACAGGAGTGCTCTTTTTCATGGTTCTATCCAGCCATGCTTTCCTCCAGGATATGCTATTCCACCCCCACTTCAGTTTTTCTTTTCCTTTCCAACTGATACTCAACATTCTGTGGCTACTAAATGTGCTTGATCCTCCTTTTTCCCCCTTTTGGCGGATATTTTGCCCCCTGAGGGTCTGTTTTAATCTTTTATAGTCAGTGCTTTTTGTCTAAAAAAAGTGTTTAGGGGTGTTCTCATTTTCCTACTCATATTGAAATACTGCCCCTCAATGAGGCCAAACTTTGATTCACAAAATGTTTAGGGGTATGCATACCCCTGCATCCCCCCAGAAAATAGCACTGTTTATAGTTCTGGAAACCTCAGGGTCTCTCAAAGCATTATGATGCCACCTCCTTGTTTTTCATTGCCTGCGTTTTAGCCTCATTTCTGTCAGCATTCACAGCCCGAGTTTGCTATTGGAGAGGGTGAAAGTTGTCTTCTCCTTGAGCAGAAGGACGACGGCATCATATTGTTATGAGTTTGGGTGCCAGAGTTTGTGGATGCAAAGCAACCACCATTCCTGAATTTAGTAAGTGTTAGAATTGAATCAATACTTGTGGGCTGCCAGATGCTGGATTTAGCATGTTAAAATACACGTCAAACCAGCTTCCCATGGCAGGTAAATCACCTGGGGAGAAAGACTATTAAAAGAGGACTAAGGGAAGGGACAGAGCCATCAAGAAAGCAACAGACTCTCTGGCAGCCAACAAATGGGAAGAGCCCCTCCCTGAGCTCAGTGATGGTTAGTCAGAAGATAATGCCAGAGTTTTTGTTAAGAGGAAGTTTTAGGATTTCAGTTGGCTGTGGTGTGACCGAGGGGGAAAAAAGTGTCAGTCTGTTAAATGCAACAAAAGGGTGGTCAAAGCGTTATGTGGATAGAGAGATTGAATCCAAGGCAGCAGCACTGGGAGAAACAGGACCCTCTGGGAGTGTAATGCTTTGAACCCCTCCTGTCAAAAACCTTAGAGGAATATTACCACAAGAAAGCTGTTACAAAGTAGAAGGGATGGTAAACAGTGGGTTAAATTTGAACTACTTATAGGTACCGGTACATACTAAATTTCCAGTGTTAAATGGAATTCTTCATAACTGTCTCAGTAGTGACCCCACCTATCCTCTAAGTCCCTCGCCTGGTAGCGGAAGGTAGCGGAAGGAAGAAACTTATTATACCCTCTGTTTCTTCCCACCCCCTCACTCATTTTATTACTTGCTTCTGCTCTACAATGATAGCTCAGTCGGTAGAGCATGAGACTCTTAATCTCAGGGTCATGGGTTCAAGTCAAAGATTCCTACATTGCAGGGGGTTGGACTAGATGACCCTCGTGGTCCCTTCCAACTTTACAATTCTGTGATTCTGTGTCTTTCCCGCTGGTGCAACTAACCTCATACCATTCCGTTCTAGAATATGAATTATGCTACGCTGGAGAGGGAGTATTATGGTTTCATTTGTGGATGTCAGAGGTATTGATGTCAGAGGTATTGATGAGTGATGTGGGTAGGTGGATTGAGATCCAAGAGCAATATCTGTAGTTTAACAGATATCAGTCGAGGCCTTCATTAGCATATTAAAATATCCTGCTGAAATGGGATAACTAATGCTGAAGGATACCCATTGAACCAGGGTGCTTCAGAATGTACAGACTTTTTACCTAGGCATCTAGCCCTGGTGATGCCGTTTTTCGAAGGAACTGTAGCTATGCAAGCAAATGCAGAAAATAACCATATCTTTCTTTAGAACCGAAAATTAGGACCAGGCACCTACAGTATTGACTATGGAGGCTTCAGTTCTAGTCATCTGCATAAGAAGATGTCAAGCTCTAGTTGGGCGAAAGCCCAGGAGGCAGCAAGGCTCACCAAAATGCCACATTTCAATTTTAAGGAAATATGCAGCAGGGCGAAAGCTCTGGTGAGTGTTTGGCTTCAAGCTCTTTGTTACATGTTGGTTTAGTCAAAGGGTTAAAATATCAGCCAGTTTCATTTCAGATACAACCGAGGACACGGGCCCACAGTTTTCTCTGAGACTGGTATCATCTTTAAGAGTATTTTCCAAATAGCATGTGGTTTGTCTTTGTTACATAACCAAGAATGTTATCATTGTGAAATATGAAGGAAAGGCCCATCAAGCGTAACAATGGGCATCAGGCAAGTGTAAGGGGGAATCTTGTCACCGCTGTCTATTTCTCAGGCAAGTACGCAGGTGGCATTGTAGTCTAAACCACTGAGCCTCTTGGGCTTGCTGAACTGAAGGTCAGTGGTTCGTATCTGTGTGAAAGGGTGAGCTCCTGTTGCTCTGTCCCAGCTCCTGCCAACCTAGCAGTTCAAAAACATACCTGTGCAAGTAGATAAATAGGTACCGCTGTGGCAGGAAGGTAAACAGCATTTCCATGTGCTCTGGCTTCCATCACGGTGTCCCGTTGTGCCAGTAGCAGTTTAGTCATGCTGGCCACATGATCCGGAAAGCTGTCTGTGGACAAACGCTGGCTCCCTCGGCCTGAAGTGAGAGAAGTGCCACATGCCATAATCACCTTTGACTGGACTTAACCATCCAGGGGTCATTTACCTTTACCCAGTGGCGTAGCGTGGGTTGTCAGCACCCGGGGCAAGGCAAGTAATTTGCGCCCCCTAACCCGTGGATTTGCGCCCCCTAACCTGTGGATTTGCCCTAACCCCAGATGTTGCGCCCGGTGCGGCCGGCCCCCCCTGCACCCCCCACGCTACGCCACTGCCTTTACCTTAACCATAAGCAGTATTATTTAATATTAATAAAATACTATCAAAAACTAAGTAGGTAGGAAGCAAAAACAAAAAAAAAGATAAAAAAGAGGTGCTTCCACTCTTCTATCTGCCAATTATATATAACACAGTTATTTCCAATATTTGGCATATACACTCCAGAATAACTCCTGATGAATTATGACATTCATATCTGAGCCTGGCTTGCCTAACAAAGGGGTCATGTACCAGGTCAGACCTACCTTTCAATCACCCCCACCCTAGTTTCTGCCACTAGCCAGGGGCACAATCTGCTGTGAAAAATAAAATAAAGCCTGGAGCTATGCTCCACCTCATTCCTGTGCTGCCACAAACTCCACATACCAGATGGCTGTTTTAAAGCTGCACATGCCATCTCTTAACCCTATTTACGTGCATCCTTTGTCTCTCCAAGAAAGCAAAGCTGGGTCCTGGGACTTATGAGTACTCAGATTTTCTACAACTCCAAGAGAAACGTCCACACAGCATTAGAGGAATATGTGACACCGGAGCAGTGAGATTTAAAGACCGCATCAGGGTAGGCATCTGTCCTTGTCGGAATGAATTGTGTGAAATGCAACATTCTTTGTGAATGGTTTTTGCCATGTCTACTTTGAATTTGCTATTTTTAGTATAGTCTTCAACTTTGCTACCTGGATTGTGGGGTTTTATTTGTTTGTCTTGGTTCCTTTGATCCTGTCTTTCAAACCACCAGTTGTGGTGCAATTCCGTATTGATGCAAAACATATTCCATTATGCATTCCCGCCTCCATGATTCACATGGAATGGAAGATGTGTGGACAGCTGAATCTTGAGCCATTCACCACGCCAACATATTCCATTATGAAAATAATAGAGATTTTTATTAAAAGAAATTGTCTCCATTTTAAAGGAATCATAGAGTTTGAAGGGATCCCCGACTCTATGCTCATCTGCTTCAACCCCCTGCAATGCAGGAATCTAAACTAAAGCATCCATGACAGATGGCCATCCAACCTCTGCTAAAAAAGGAGAGTTGACAACCTACCAAGAACATTCGGTCTTTAAAACCTACATTATGGGTCTAGGCTGAAAAGTAGGCTTAGAGAAACCACACCATGAAGCCACTGTCCCCAGTAATATGAGCCTATGTCTCTCCAGAGCATCAAGAAAGGTGGGTGGGACTGCAGCATCAGGAATCAGAAGTCAACTATTTGGGTTTTGTTCCTACTAGGGGGGTTACCAGAGGCGGACCATGGGTTCTCAAATTACAGTGGCGCTCTGTGTGACACTAAAATTTGGCACCTTCCACCTCTCTTGCTCCGCTCTACAGCATTGTTGTGATGCCCCCAGCAGCACAGTGCCCAGTGCAGCCGAACTGGTCACACTACCTTAAAACTGCCTCTGGGTTTACATTTGGCTCAACATCTAAAACCCCCTTGTTCTAACGTGTCATAAATGAGATTGCAGCCATTATGCATGTACTAATGGCTGCCATTGCTATGGTCACCTGCTTTGTGCTCCTTTCAGTGTTTACATTCCTCCTTCCTCTGCTCCTATCACCTGTAGAGTCTACCACCTGCTCATTACCTCAGGAGTCCGTAAGTAGGGGTGGGAAGCCTGTGGTCCTCCATATGTATTGGGCTCCCAAGTCCCATTATTCCCAGCCAGAATAGCCAACAGTGAGGAATAATGGGAGTTGTAGTGCTACAACAACTTGTGAGCTTGTGTCGTAAAAAAAGAAAGGTTTTGATGTAGATGGAGAGATGGCGTGGTGAAAGGCTCAAGATTCAGCTGTCCGCACATCTTCCATTCCTTGTGAATCATGGAGGTGGGAATGAAGGACAGATATATTGGCTGCCTTCCAACGGTTTTGTGGTTTAGCACCAGCAAAATAAAAATTATTCATCACCGGACTGACACATTTATGAAGCAAGAGTGACTCACAGTGGATTAGTTACAGTGTTTCCCAACCTTGTGCCTCCAGCTGTTTTTGGACTACAATTCCCATCATCCCTTGCCACTGGTCTTGCTAGTCAGGGATGATGGGAGTTGTAGTTCAAAAACAGCTGGAGGCACAAGGTTGGGAAACACTGGATTAGTAGGTGAAACACATTAAAAATAAATAAATACTACAACTCTTAACTGCTGGAAAGATTGCTTTGCCTGCAAAATACCTTTAATCGCAGTATTATTCATTGCGTTGTACTGTTTTCTTTGTTCTGAACTATTGTGCAGAATTTCCAGGAATTGTTTTTGTAATGTTTTTCTATAATCAACATATTCCAAAAAGCCAGGTTTTTCTACCCTCACTTATGTCACAGTAGCAAAGATGATATCAATAGTACCACAAAAGGGAAACTGTCTTAAAGTATCAAAGGATATGGACATATATAATACTCTAGTCTGTGCGAGGTTTTGGTTGTTTTTGTAGCTGATACAAATCTCAGTAAAAGTGTGTGTGTGTGTGTGTGGGTTTTTTTAAAGGGTGTTTTCTCATAGCACCTCCTCGCTCCTGAAGTCAAGGGAAGGCTCCTTGCCTTCCTCCAAGAACCTGAGCTATTTCCTCCGCAAGAGGCAACTAGGAAGCAATTGGTAGACATGAAGAACCAGCTTATGTACATGTGGCAGAAAACAGCAAGGCAGGGATTAATAACCTGTGGCCCTCCAGATGTTGTTGGACTCCATCAGCCCCAGCCAGTGTGACCCAGGGTCAGGGATGATGGGAGTTGTAGCCCAACAAAATCTGAAGGGTCACACGTTTCCCATCCCTGATCTAGGGTTTTTCCTCTGGCAGGCCTGCTGTACCTTTAACAGCAGTGTGACAAGCAGAAATTCATTCTGTAGGTGAAACTTTTCCCATTGCCCCATCCAAATGCTGGGGAAAGCTCCACCCTTTGAATGCTTGCTGTTTTCACACGAGCCCTACCAAAGTAACTAAACAAGAACTGCCAGCCCAAGACTTCGCTAATAATTATTGAGTATTCCTCCTAATTAGTTTGCCAGGTGATTAGACGACACTAGCTATTTAATGAACATAGAGTCTGATTTGTTTGCAGGAAGGTTAGATGACATGGTGTCATAATAAATGTGACTATATATGTGCTTTCTAGTGCAACTCCCCATCATTTCTCTTAATGCAAAAAGTCCAGTATTTTGGTAAGATGCACTTGGTGAGCAGGAGCTCAAAATCAACTATAATTGCATAACATGAAATTGCCAGGATGTGGTTGCATGCTCAAAAACAACACCAGTCTGGAAACAATGTGGAGTCCAGATAAGAGATGGGCATTGCTCTGCTGTGGTTATGTTAATGCTCTCTCTCTCTCTCTCTCTCTCTCTCTTTCTCTCCACCCTAACATCCTAGGAATGTTATCCTGGCCCAGGAACCTATGGAAATCCTTATGCTGCCCTGGATAAAAAGGAAAAACGCTCTGTGACTGCACTTGGAATAATGGACAGTAAAACTTCAAAATGCTTCGCCTTTCCCAATGTGGCAAGTTTAGTTTCTTAGTTCTCTGCTTGGCTGCTCTCGATCCTCAAAGTCTTCCTGTTGAACTGGCTGGAGAAGGCTTGTGTTGCTGATACGGGATTGCATTCCCATACCACACCTTTGGCAAGGGATTATGATCCCATGTAGTTTCATACAACTACAGCCACAACAGGACCAAGTCCTCGCCTATTCAACGCAACAGATGCTACACTTTTGCAAACTGCTTAAGAAGCCTCTCCCTCTCCCTAATCCTTTCTTAATCCTTGATTTCAGGGAAGTGGTTTGGGACCTGGCACCTACAATATCAAAAATGGGGTGGATGAGATGCTGAAACGCGTGGTCAGCTTAAAAGGCCCTTATGAAACCTTCACAGGAGACAGGTCAAAGCCTATTGTCTGTGGGCATTACGCTACTGATGTATGTACGCTCATCTTCTTTGCTTGCAAACTTTTTTTTTAAAGCGTCATGTTGCTGGTTAGTAATTCAAATGATAGAGTTGCCAAACTTCAGACTGGCAAAACATCAGAAAGTCCATGAACCTTCCCCACACTGCTTCTTTTAAGCCTCCAACTTTTGGAGTAATGGAATTAAAGAAGATTCTGATTGTCTTTAAAAAGAAGAAAATATAGAAACACAAAAAGAAATAATTTTGTATGTGTTAAATTTTGAAGTTTTGTGATCTGTCAGGTTCTGCTACTTGGAACACTGGGGATTCAGATGAAAAATGTCTAAATTATTAGACAGGCATTTGTAAGAGTTCAAATGTCTCCACTGTAATATTGTTTTTAATGTTTCTAACACTCCAGACCAGGATGAGCAAACTATTCCAATTATATTGATGATTAAGTACTTATTTAGCATTTTGTCACAAGTGTTCCAATACACCGCATATTCCATTAATTATCTCAGCACCCTTACAACAAATCTTGTATTATACAATACTACAGATGGATCTGAGGCTAAACAATGCAAATAACTGCAGCTGTTTGGAGGAGGGTGGGCATAGGAAATCTTGGGGATGGCCCTTTCTTCTAAATTTTCTGCCAGTGATAAATATTGCATTGCTTTCCTTTTCCAAAATGCATAAATTTACAGGTTGAATGAAAACAGTATAGAAAAAGCAGTCAATCAGCGGTGGTAGAGGAAAAGCTGAATTAGGGCAGATTCTACAGTTCAACAAATTCAATTGCATTACGTGCATTTTAACTGTTGTAAGCCTACACAATGCATGTTGAAAATTCATTTTATATAAGATCATTGAACCTGATACAATCTTCCTTCAGATTATTGAGCTTGTGTGTGTGTGTGTGTGTGTGTGTGTGTGGCGTGTGAAAATTATAACTGTATTCCATGAAAGAACAGCGACAAGAGTACCCTCAGGTGACTTTCTTCCTTCTCCTTCTCCTCCTCCTCCTCCTCCTTTTGTAAAATTGTACAGATTTGATATACAGTTGTACCTTGGCTGTTGAACGGAATCTGGGTTTGTGGCATTTGGGAGCCAAAACATTTGAGTTGCAAGGTGTTCGAGATCCAAGGTACAACTGTCTCCTTTCCTTGTTTAATGTTTCTAGAAAAAGTCCATCGAACTGAGTGGCACCACATTGAAGAGCTTCCTGGAAGAACTAGAATCAAGGGATAAAAGGAAGCACGGCACTTTCGGCAGTCTTGTTTGGAATCCCAAGTGCCCCTCCGATCGGATCTTCTGGGCCACTGTCAGCCAGTGTCCACGTGAACAAGTAGGTGACTTTCCATTGCTTCTTGGTTGCAATCACAGTGCCAGTTTCTTCCGAATGGCAGGGTTGGGAAGTCGTGTGAGGTGAAAAGGGTGAGTGGGGAACAAACATCAAAGAACAAACAGGCTGCTAGGGCAGTCTACTACGGCCCCCAGGCTATTATAGAACTAACTCCTCAGCTTTAGGTAGATGCCGAACTGCAGCTAATCAACCAAGCAGGGTTGAGGGCAACCAGCCACGCACCTGGAGTCTAGGGGTTTGGGGGCAGAGTCCATTGTGAGATAGCATCAAATTAATATGTTTTGGTGGTTGTGTTTCAACCTTTGTTTCATAAATGTCATAGGCGTATCTTGCTCCAAGTACATAGAAGCCAGTATTTTATGTGACTTCCAAACTGGTAAGCACTCAATCACACAATATTGCTAGTCAAGTGAACAAGGGGAATCTCTAGCAAAACGTTGTGCTGTGTCCCTGGCTCAATGTAGCTAGCTGTATCTCCCCCAGGATACTTTTCTATACTCTTTGTGCTGCTACACAACTGTTGTATTCACTGGTTCAAAGTAATTTATTTTACTTGTTACAGTACCTGACAGGGCCAGGCTCATACGACATAAAGCCCATCAAGAGAAAAGAGTATGAAAATCAGCCACCGTTCTGGATTGGTGCAAAAAGATTTGACAGGAAAGCATACCGTCTGTTTGTTGGAAATGCTGTGAGTGGGAAATTATATGATCAGAGTTTGACTAAGAAAGACCGCTTACCGTAATTTTCCCAGTGGCAGAAAGGGAGAGAATTTGAATTCAGTTTGCATATATAGGTGCAGCTACCTAACTTGCCCTTCCTGAAAAACTATGGAAATCGAAACACAGCCATCTTTCAAAATTTGCACTTCTCCAGATATTCCAGTGCAGTTCTCCTGCCAAGTAATGTATGTACTAAATGGGAAAATGAGAAACGGAGAGAAATCAAAATGGATAGATTTGCCTGTCCTGAGAAGGGGCTCAATGGAGCAATGGGTATCTCACATGAGCCCACCAGGAAGCATGGCAAAGGCACGAATGGTGAAGTGGCAGAGAATTGGATTGGTTGGAAACATTTCCTCTGCCACTGCCAAGTTGCAGGTGGGGCCACACACACATCCGGCCATCCCTGCCTTATACTTTGACCACGCTCCTATGTGTACTTACTTAGAAGTAGGACTATTTCCCCCCAAGCAAACACATTTATGATCAGGAATTTTGCAGTGCTCAAATAAAATACTTTTGTCTCCACTAGGCTCAAGTGCCCCTTACTCTGTGCTGGGTTGAGGGAATCTATTTTAGATTGTTTGATAGTGCCGCATCCCTTTTGCTGATAGGCTAAAACTCCTTTTAGTAATGATGTGCCAAAGGGATGGCTCTGGCTCTGTTCCTCCTTCTCCTTGTGCCCTTTCTTGTATCATCTGCATTCATCTTTTCTGGGTTCCTGTGGTGAACTGGAACAAAGCTGGGAGGACTCAGTCAGCGAAAGCTTTCATTTGAAAGAGTTCACTTCCACTTAGGGAACAGGTAAGGACTCCCAGTTTGTTCTCTCTCCTTGATCCTGGAGAGCAGGGAACTTAAAAGAGGTCAAGAATGAAGGGCTCTTTTATAATTGATGGGGAACTTTGCTGGTGGTGATTAAGTGTCGCGGATAAAGTTGGCAGAGAACTGAACTTACCTGCCGGCGGTTCGAGAGTTTTTAATGCAGTGGAGGAGCAAATCGTTTTGCTCTGGCCACTGGCGACATCTAAAAAAAGCCTACTTCAGAGGGGCCTGCTCAGTGATCTGGCGTTCAAATACGCCAGAGTTGGCCCAAAATGGAATGAGAAATTCTTGTAGCATGTATGGAAATGAAAGGCGGGATTGATGCTTCTTCAAGTACAAAACATGCAAATGGGGTTGTTGTTGATAGCCGGAACAGCCTCTCTCTTTCTCTGCCATTCTTACCCCAAGGGGACGGGGAGGGACCCTTTGCAGAGGTGTTTTAGGATGTCACTGCTGGAGGGGCGCCGGAGATTATTGGGGGGGCGGAGCCCCCCCAAACGAATTTTTGAGGGGGCTCGGGCCCCCTCAAGCCCCATGGAGTCGGCGCCTATGGATGCATGGCCTATCCCTACAACAATTGTACTAATGGCAACATTGGAAAAGAGGCATAACTCAGAAGAAGAGCCAGTGTTTGGCATGCCAAAGGTCCCAGGTCCAATGTTTGTCATTCTCAGTCAGTGGGTGGGTGGACTTTCACCTGAAACCCTGGACAGCAGCTCCCAGTCAGTGCAGACAGTGCTGAATTACATGGGCCAATTTATTTTTTAGGCAACGTCTGAACAGCAGCAAGGGAGAAGGCTTTGCCCCCAATAAAAGGCTAGGTGGATTGTGGAATATCTCCCTCTAGCAGGGCCACAAACATTTCTGGTGACAGGAATCCCAGTGTGAAATCTTGGGGGGGGGGGGGCTGTTGGAGGACTAGATGGCATGGCCTAATATAGGGTCAAGCCATTGGTATATTGTCCAAATAGACTGGTTTGAAATCATTCTATTCATTAGACTAATCCACTGCACTTATAGAGATTCATGAACAAGTGGAGTGAGCCTTTGGATTGTGATGTCAAAGCCTTTAAGGCTATGTTCACAATTCTTCCAACCCATTCTCCCTTTGAGAGGATCAGAAGTCTTCCTTTAAGACATGTGTGGGGAGCCTGTGGCTCTCTGTATGTTGAACTACAACTCCCATCAACCCCAGAATGACCAATGTCCACGGACGATGGAAGTTGTAGTCCACCAACATCTGGAGGATCTTATGACAAGATATGTAGATATATATTGGGTATCAATGAGGTGGATGTCTGTTCCAATGTTATAAAGATGAGAGGTGGTATCATCTTCACCATAGTGCAGCTGAACATTCATGATTTCACTCACAAAAATCAGAAAGTCTCAGACATAACAGGGAACATTAACAAGAAGTTGTGAAAGTAGTCCAAACCTGTGCATTTTGCACTTCTACTGTCTAATGCCAAAAGGGGATTTTGCACAGAGGGAATGCTTAATGCCCATTCATCTCCCCAGCATGAGCTTACTTTCATTCCATTGGCCAGACAAGAAGTGGATGCTCAAGGGCTTTACAGATCTGCATCTCAGGATACCCAAAGCTGCTCCTTGTCTGCTTTCCTGTTTATAGAACCCAGTTGGAGTTGGCCGCTATGATACTATGAAACATGAGAAATACCGAAAGAAGATCAGATACCGTTCGCTTTATATGCATGATACACAGCGTTACCTTAGTAACCTGGAGAGGGACAAGTGCTTACAGTAAGTAAAAAAATTACAAAACACAGAGGAAGCAGCAACTTCTAAGTTCTAGCAGTACGTGAAATTGTGCTTGAGCAATTCATTCGAATTTGTACACTTGGCCTAATTTGCATGCCTTGTTTTGGATGACAAGTTTTGATTGTAACTTAGTTTTAGAATTTGGAAACTTTTCAGGATCTAGAATAGTAATAGAATTGGGCTTGTGAAATGTTGAGGATTTGGCTCAGGCCAGTGGGACAGGAAGTGTTTAGAGTGAAAATGTCTCATGTGGAGATAAAAAGATGTTGACCATTCTGCTTCCGTAAGGCTAAACAAACCAGGGGAACAATAAACTAGAACCCAGAAGGAGTGGAGCTTAACTAGAATTCCTGAAATTAATTCTTGAATTGGGTGCAATTTTCAGCTCATTTGCATCTCTTTGAAGGTAAACATTTTGCTGGCTTACTCTTCTAACAATTCAATCTTCTTTTTCAGGGAGAGGATTACGCCTGTTAATAAAGGCCTCCAAAGACTCTGTTAATCTACCTGAAGACTTGTTGCTTCCTGAAACTTAGTTAAGTCACCAGGTATCAGCTGCATTTCTGGTTAATGTCCATAAAAAATCCTGCCAAGAGGACACAGACACCTCAACATTTGCTATATCGTATCCTGTACCCACCTACAATCATTTCTTGGTATAACACTCAAATCAAGACACTTGGTGGAATATGGTTAATGTGTTTTTTGAAAACCAGCATGCTGATGTAATTATATCAATATTAAAAATGCTAGACACAAACTGAACTGCTGTTACAAGTAGTCAACACCAACAAAAAATAATAATAATTGTACTAGTCAGTTGTATGAGTAAAGAAAGCACAGTTTGCAGTTGCTACTAGTTCCTCCAAATATTGCAGACAATCAGGGTCAGGTGTTTTTAAAGTGCCTCTCCTCTGCCAGGGATCTACCTGGAAAGTCTGAACTCGTATCAGAAGCACCAATACATGCTGGTTGATGGTCATGGAGGAGGAGGAGGAGCTTCTTGGCTCCAGTGTAATACCTGAAGTTAACTTGGCAGGTGTACAACGTATGTGCACATAGAAACCTTGTACAATCCTTCAATGCAGTCACACGAACAGAAATAGCAGCAGTTGCTAGAGACATAAGGCTGTATCCGGACAGGGATGATTGGCATGAATACAAGTAGTTGTGTTTCCTATCAATTTGTTGTTTCATTGATGATTAACACCATTGAACATTTTCTTGCTTTTTTGTGGGTGGGCATATTCCCCAGAGATCTCATAGGGTAGCATTGACTGTCACAGCATTTGAACACTAAATGGTTCAATCCTATTTGGTGTATGAAAAATTCTATTTAACTAGACCAACATGAGCCAACAGGATGCTTTCCAGATGTTGATGCAACTACAAGGACTATCATCCCCGACCATGAGGTCAACAATGTTAAGAGGGCACATATTCGTTACTTCTGAATTAGATAGTACTGAAGCACAAGGAATTGAAGTATTAATTCATTCTGTCAATTCCTTTAAGGACATTTTATTATACTTCTGAATAAATGTTAACTTGCACATAATGTGGTAAAATAATGCCAGGCAAGACCCTGTAGGAATTTATGGCAAGGTTTACTTTTGAGACATTTTATAGTCTAAATGGAGGCATAAATTCTTTTTTTTTTTTTAAAAAGGATGCAATATAACATATTCTATAAATATGGATGTGATCCCAGGATTAGAAATAACAGTTAAGTCTAGGAAAAAGCTAAAGATTGAATTTTGATAGCTTCAAAAATCCTATGAGCACTTCAAAAAGCTCCTGAAGCCAGCTTCTATGAAGACCCACTTGAAAGTTTTCAAAGAGTTCTGCCCAATAAATGACATTTCCAATGCGTCTTCCATTCAAAGTGACTTGAGATAATAGAGACTTACAGCAAAGATCTTCTCAACACCATTTTATTCAGTCACATCAAAATAGCATATTTTTTTTATGGTCGTAGGCAAGTTCTGCCCAAGAGCAGCAGTACAAAACAGCTGACAGTTGCAACGTAAGTACACTGTGGCTGCTGGTATAAAATTAGGACATCTGAGTGGTTGGGACTCTTTTTCACTATGGTTGTAGCAAGAGGACAAACACACTTGCAGATACAGCCTGTGATGAGAAACAGAACCGTGTGCGACACAAAGACATACTCTACAGATTACAGACTCTGGCACTTTCCCCCCCTTTGCCTTTAGAACTCATTCCTGCACAGATAAATAATGGCAAGCATGGATTGCGCTGTCAACTCTCAGTCCCTTTCTGGATTCAACCTATGCCCAACACGCTGGCACAGCTACAGCGGCTTTTTACTGCCACTGTCACTTCCTACTCTCACAAACATTATGAGAATGGTTTTCAGATGTGCTACGGCAGTGTATGCAAGGCTCTCCCCCATCAAGGAATAGTTATCAGATGGATCAGTCTAAATGCATGTGCATTACTGAGTCGCTAAAATATGCTCGTTTATTCTCTTCCAATAAATAAGACCATCAGCTGGTCATAAATAAAACCCCACAGACAGTTAGATGTTTTTATATTGTCTCACCAAGCCGAACATTTCTCCCTATGTTCAGATAAATAATTCCACGTGAGAATTTTTGAGTCTTGACTAGTCTTTGGATCAGATTTTGGTTAAATTTGGTGCAATGAAAAGGAAAGAAGAAACCCAAACCCACTTAACCCCTGTAAAACTGATTACTGTAAAACTGTGAAGCGAGTTTTATTATGGGAAAGTTCATGGCCCCAGCTAAACTTAACCTATTGCTATTACATTAGGTTTTTAGGAAGCATTGATGTTAGAGGCATTGGGGGCTTATTGCTTCAGTGCAGAAGCTTTACCCTAACAGAAAAACCACTAGCTTGTAGAATTGTGAAAAAGAAAACAACCATGTTAACATTTTAACATTAATCAGAATGTATGGAAGAGGGGGGCACACATAAAAGTAAAGTTGAGGCCTGCTCCTCTCTCACTAGTGTGCAACCCGAACCCCTGGACCACTAAAGCTAGGTTTAATGAATTGTAGCCGCTGCTACTTCCACAGCCCTACTGACAACACACCAGCCAGCGTGGAAGAAGCAGGGGGCAAAATTCCCCCTCACTAGAACAGCTCCCAGGGCTGGGCTGGTGGCCTAGTTTGGGCCTGTGGCTGCCAGCAGCTGGGATGGATCAGGATCCAGTTGATCATGTGTTGGTCTCTCAACCCCAGGTTTCTGCTGAATATCACCAGCTGTATCTGTCATCCACCTTTTGAGCGAGCACTTTGGAGGGCTTGACAGATGGCAACAGATCTCTCTTGCTGACAGATTTAGGCAGAAGGACAGCTCTGCTTCATCCAAATCCTCTGCCTTTTGTTGGGCAGGATGAGGGTAAAGAGGATGAAGAAATGGTATCCGTCCTCCTACAAGGCTGGCTGCGTGCAAGTTTGGCTTCTGGATGTACGTGGCTCTCTTAAGGCTTACTGAAAGTGGGACTTGTGGGTAAATGTGCATAGGACTGAGTTACATCATACAAAAGCTTAAGTTTCCTTTCATCTACATGTGGGGTGCATGTTCCGACATTTTAAAAATCTGGATATCTATTCCTACCCCACCCGCATTTCCAAACGCTAATGAAGTCTAAAAAATAGGATGGCTAAAATGATCCAGGTCTCTTCCAGTTGATTAAGGCACTAAAAATAAAAATAAAAACTTCCTAAAAATAAAAGATACCCATGGTGAATACTGCCTTTCAAACTAACGTTATGTGCATCATCTACCACACAAAACCCATAATTTGCTACACATTTCAAAAACAAAATAAAGCCTAAATTAGTTAGGCAACAAAATGAAACCAGTTTGCTCAGTGTCTGATCAGTGTTGATCTTCTCCGTGTATTATGAAAAATGAGGCCAATCTTGCATTTCTGACAATCCATTTAAACTGCTAATCCAGTGTTTGTTAGCCAAAAAACAGATAATCATAGCATATTCTGTATCTTGTAGCAGCAGCAGCGATACCAAAAAGCAACACAGGAAAACAAACAAATAAAGGCCATCCAGAAGCAGTTTGCACTGAAGACTTGTAGAACTGGGGGCAGCAGGGAGAACAGACAAAAGCAACATCATTTATAAACAGGAAAGATAAATGCACCAACCCCTCCACAGTGCATACCAGCAAGTCTTCCCCTGCATCAAAGAAACCTTGATGGACACAACTAAAGAAAAATGTAATTGAAAGTAAAAAGAGAGAGGCTGAACAATTCAAATTGCCTGCAAACCATAACTTCCAGCACTTTCAGACAGACAGGTCTACAACTGTGAATCTAATGCATGGTTACTTTCAACAATTCAAATAGAAATCCTGGGAAAGCTTAGTGATATGGTATAGGCAACAGTGACGTAATTTAAAGGCAGTCTCATTTGGCAGGTATTTGGCACTACCCTCGCGTAGAGGTGATTTTCTAAATTACAGGATCCCATCCCATTACATTTGTAGTAGTGAAGCTCCTATCAAACTCCCACTGGCAATGGCTAGCTAGACTGCAGTTCTAGCATCCTCAAAACTCAGATTTTCCCCATTTTTCTACAGGAAACCACTAAAAGATCTATAGCAAACCTATAATTAAACCTTATAGGAATTTCCATTTCTAAGCTATAAGATTATTAAGTGTAGATTTTTTTTCATATAAAGGCAGGAGTTTATATCTCTTAAATCACAAATATGCTTGAAGTCTTTGGGACAGCAACAACATGCTTTCGTTAAGGGCAGAGCAATTAGTTATTGTAAAATCCAACTTCACCCAATTTCTTGCTCAGGTGAGTCCGATTTAATGTCTTGCAGATTTGCAGATTTTATCATACACCTCTGGAAAAGCATCATTACAATGAAGTTGCTTCCTCAGCTTGTGGTACAGCGAGCCATCAAACATTTCCCAGAATTCCTCACGGGTCATATAGCAATCAGCATACAACATCTGAAAACTAAAAGGAAGAATGAAAAACAGATCTTAAAATTGTTGCATCAGAAGGCGGCAGAAACTATTGCTCATTTCTTAGAGCAGGCTATTTTGCCAGCGCAAACGTTCAGATCTTGTCCTAAAGGAACCCTTTTGTCTAGTCCCCAGTACTCCAATAGAACCCCATGAAACCAATTCTGAATTTTAGAACAGAAAACACTTCAGACTGCTCAGTAGCCCCAAAAGGGAAGTCTGTCATAGCAGCTTATAATGAAGCACATTTTTGTTAAATTATATATGTCTTCAGGTAAAAAGGATCCTTAAAAAACCCCTGACCAATAAAAAATTAAGTTAAAATTCTTTTTGTTTTTGCAACATCGTCATGCAGCAAGCTGAAAAGTTAACTGCAAGAGAGTTCTCCTAACAACTTGAGAGAATGCCCTTTCGGGACTTAGACCCTTACCCATGAACACTCCTTACAAACTTTTCTATTTGCCTGGTGGAAGCCTTAGCTTCGAAGTATTTTGTTTTGGGCTCTCCATAGGCTCCTACGTCCACATAGAGCTCTGCTTCATCTCCTTTTGGGTGGATCATGCCAGGGTTATTGGGCAAGATGAAGGGGCAGAGCCACAGAGGATAAACCTAGAGACAACGGAAGAACAAAAAAAAATCACGACAAAGCAATACATGGGAGCCACTACCCAGCCCTTCTGAATCCTGTAGTCGAGACATGTTTTGTTTAACTACTGCTACTAAGAACAACCTGGAAGGTAGGAAAGATGCACTTACTTTAATGTCACTGTGGAAGGTTTCAATACATTGCTCAAGGCTTTTCATGGGGACCATCATGTCTTGTACAACGTGATGCTGCTCATAGAGCTTCCGAATTGCTTCTCCTTGGGTCAGTTTTAAGAGGGAGATTTTAGGAGGAACCATCCAACCAAACAGGTAGCGGAAAACAGGGTTATTGCCAAATGGGATGATATCCTAGAAAACAAACCAAATGCATGTCGTGAGAAAACTACGCATTTCAAATCTGGATCGCCGACTTCAGAAATAACTGTCTGCCTTAAAAAACAACACCTCAACACTTTTTCATCATTCATTTATTTTAACAAAATTCACATGCTGCTTGATTGAAAGAAAACCTGTACAGTGGTACCTCGGGTTAAGTACTTAATTTGTTCCGGAGATCCGTTCTTAACCTAAAACTGTTCTTAACCTGAAGACCACTTTAGCTAATGGGGCCTCCTGCTGCTGCTGCTGCGCCGCCGCCACGTGATTTCTGTTCTCATCCTGAAGCAAAGTTCTTAACCCGAGGTACTATTTCTGGGTTAGCGGAGTCTGTAACCTGAAGCGTATGTAACCTGAGGCGTATGTAACCCAAGGTACCACTGTATGCAGTTTACAAAAATCAAGTCGATTGCAATTACTAGTGGCACTAATTAGTACATACAATAAAATAAAATAAAGCTATAGCACATATGGATTTAGCTAATTAGCGACTAATCCCACATAACATTGGAAGGATCTTCTGTGCAGTGAGCTGCAGTAATATGATGCTTTTCAGTCTGGGAAATGACCGCAACCATTTTTCCAGTTGGCTCACACTGGCGCTTACAACAAGCCCTGAGGGGAAATGCCTCCCCTTTGCTCCCGTGGCTTGAAATCAAAGGGCGTGGGCAAATGAAATGGGGTTTTTGCACTAGCCGCTGATCAACTGATATCAGGCAACCAACAGGTAGGCAGCTGTCAAACTGGCCCATGGGAACTGGGACACGTCAGCTGGTCAGATCTAGTTCCTACCCTGATATATAATATGGGGAAGAAGTTCGGCTTGGTCAGCTATTTCGCTAACTAGGTTTATCATTACCAGAGAGAGGGTTGAATTGATAAGGATGTGTCTGTGGGCTTGATTGACAGCTAATATGGCATGAATTGGAACCTTACCTGGAGCTCCCAGAATATGCTCCGTGTATGCCTGTGATAGTATTGCCTTGCAGGGATATATTCCGTTCCCGTCTTGTTAGCCTTTAGATAGTTCTCCACATGCTTGAAAAACCATGGCTTGTAGTAGCATCCAATTCTGTTGATCTTAAGATAAACAGAAACACAATGAACACACCAGCACAAAAGCTACTTTGCCTGAAGACAAAGTTTCATAACGTGGCTCTAATTACAGCTGCAATTGAATGCAAGTTCTTTTAATGCTCAGCACATTTCTGCAACTGTTAAGAGTAAGATTGCCAAGGAAACACCAACAACAGGTTGTGTTGATCAGGGTTAGCTATGAGGGTTGCTGCTCCAGATGTTGCTGCACTACAATTCCCTCCACCCCTAAGCACTGGCCAGCAATGGCTGGGGCCGACTGGCAGTTCAGTCCAACAACGTCTGTAGGGTGGCACACTATCTATCTTTGATGTAAAGTCATGCAATGTACATCATTTACATGCAAATGTCTGTATGCAATCAACACTGGCAATTATTTTTGTAGATAAGAACTGCCTACAGGCCAATTCTGTGCACTTCTATCAGGCAGATTGGTTTGACCCAGGCCTGTGGGAGAAATAGTTTTGTAGAATGACCTCTCCCACCAGATTAATTATGTACAAGACATTCCACTCATGGAATTGATCTGCCCAGTATTTTGTTAAACTAGTTTAACAGTCACTCCTCCATCCAGAGAACCATGGGAACTACTGTTCTGTAAGGGAGGCTGAGCTCCAAAAGAGAATTCACAACACTCTCAACGAACTACTGTTCTCTAGGGGAAGCTATGGCATTAAAAATACCATAAAAACTAAAGGAAGCCTGTACTGCAGATGGGCTCTCTAAACTTTAGAATCAATGAAGGGCAGTGATTGGTTTTCAGAGGCAAGTTTGGCTAGTTCTCCCCCCGCCGGTGTCCTATTTACCTGAAGAAGTGAAAGAATCAATGTTGTTACCTTACTATGATCAGCTTCATTGGTCAAAACTCCGGTCATTATGACAGCTTCTTCTAAAGAATAAACCAGACCCTCCACAAAATGGTTTTCTTTCTTCTCAGATTCTTCAGCAAATCTCTTGCAGATTGTCTTCAGTCCTCTCACAGGCTCATAATGCAGCTTCACATATTTTTTCGCTGGGATCATTTTTATTTCAGCTGCCACCAGGAAGCCCAGTGTGCCACAAGACCAAGGAACCGCATAAAATAGGTCTGAATTCTCCTCCTGCAAAAGGCACGCAACACTAAGGCGCATACAGATACAGAGCAGGAATAATGTCACAAACCACAGCAAATTAGAATGTTATCTTACCGGTGTACATCTCACATGGCTCCCATCAGCAAGAACAAGTTCATAGGCCACGCAGGAATGCTGAAACAGTCCATAGATGTGGGAGGACGATTCAATACCAGTCCCCATGATCAAACCACCTGAACAAGAGATCATTGCACAACAATCACATGAATTGTATTTTCGTTTTCCAGAGGACTTACTTAAATAACAAGTGAATTTTCACAGCTTGGGAATCATACAGTGAGCATTAGATCTTATGCATCACAGAAAAGTATAAAAATAATTTGCTTTTAATTGCTAAGTGGAACTGTATTGAAATATTTAAGAGTTTTAGTTATATTTTACAAATCCCAAGACCTCTCACCTATAGTAAGGTCATCAAGTTCTGGTACCACTGGAATAGTCCAGCCTATGGGGTTGAGGTGTGCTGTTAATTGTCCCATTGTGACCAAGGGTTCCACACGGACAACCTAAGGAAGAACACATTTTATATGCCAAGACTGAATGCCACATCAAAACAAATCTGATGCCGAACAGTAACACAGAAATGCACTCTGCCCTATCATTTGGTGCACACCTTAAAAGTTACCTCGGTCTTTGTGAATCAGGAAATACAGTGGAAAAGAAATACTTTAAACAGGTTAGTGTTGCAATCATGCTTGCCTATCTTGGATGTAATTAGGCAAATTACAACTAGGAAACCCGTAGCATGAATGCTTTAAGACTGAGCAGCACAACAGTACTTTCTGCAGCAGACAAGGCAGCTAAGGTTGCACCAAAAACTTGAAAATTTGGCCTAAGAAACTCCTGTCTGCACTGTTTATCACAAACATATATACTAGTGCATGAACAAAGTGTAGGGTCATGCCTCTGTTCCTGGCTATTGTACCTTCCACTTGCTAGGCAGAGTTGTGTAAGCCAACTTCCCATGAACAAAAGCCCCATCCTTCAATTAGCATACAGAAATGGCAGGTTTCATTTCTTTCACAATCAAGCAGTTATCTACATTGATCTCCTTCTTTAATAATAATAAATGCATTTTGCAGTGGTTCCAACCCTACCTTTGGAACTGAGTCCAGAGAGTAGCACTGAGAGTGCCTTTCAACCCCTTGGTGGCTACATTATGAACTTGCCACAGCTTACTATCTTACAGGTATCTCCAATGCTATTTACCATATTTTTCGCTCTATAAGACGCACTTTTTCCCTTCTAAAAATTAAGGAAAAATGTGTGTGCGTCTTATGGAGCGAATGCAGGCTGCACGGCTAAGCCAGAACAGGGAGAGGGAGCGCTGCGCAGTGCTCCCTCTAGCTATTCTGGCTTTTGGATGGCCCCGCGAAGCTCCCCGTGCCCTGCGGAGGCTTCGATCAAAGCTAGACCAGCTATCCCACCGGCTATCCCAGAAGCCAGAACAGCAGGAGACTATCCCAGAAGCCAGATCCCTCTTGCTGTTCTGGCTTCTGGGATTCAGAATCCCCCCCCTTGTTTCCTCCCCCCCAAACTAGGTGCGTCCTATAGAGCAAAAAATACGGTAATATCTACATGAAGCTATTGGGATCGGTCATTATGAGTTTTGGGGCAAGGTGCCATCAGTATGCTGATGAAACTCAGCTCTATCTCCGTAACATCTGAAGTGGGAGAGGCTGTACAGCCCCACTTAGATGCAGTGGTGAAATGGATGAAGAAAAACAAGCAGAGCTTGAATCCTGCCAAGGTGAAGGCACTGAAGGTGAGTAGTTCCCACATCCAAGATGCGTAGGCAACTCTCCATAAACACAGAGAAGTAGTGGTCAGTGGAATGGCAGCATTTACTTGCCCTTGCGTCACTGGTGTTTCTACATATTACTGGGAGGGAGATAGGAAGGTGCAAGGAGTGCCAGATTGGTTCCACCAACGAGTTTGCACAGCACCAACCTGGCCCCTTGCAGTAAGCTGGAGTGACATGAGGTCAGGTAAGTGCTGCTGCCCCACTGCCCGCTACTAAGACAGAGTGAGCAAAAGATAGCAATTCTGAAGACACCAGCTAGTGGGGAAACATCCTCAGTAGTACTGCCACACCAGAGGTCCTGTGTCCCAAGGTCTGATTCTTCCGCTTCGAAATCATGCGCCTCATCCTTGGTCAGGCACCTCAAAGAGGACCAGAAAGCACAGAAACCAACAGGCTCAATGATGTTCAGCAATGGCCACATCCCTTGAACAAAAGCTCATCACTTAAATAGAAGGATCAATTCCAAGCTTACCATTCTCTCAGTGTCCACTTCCAGAACATCCATCAAGTTGATTGTTATATTCTTAAGCGTCTTCTTGTACTTTCCAACACGAAGAGACACTGTAAGCCAGCCAGGACGTCCTGTGCACATATATGTTTTTAGCCCTTCTTTTTTCCATTCTCGTACCTGCAAGAAAGGAAGATTAATTTAACACCTTATATATAACAACTTGATGTTGTTTTTGCAAGTAAACAGATCTGCATCTGAGAAAACTGATTCTGACTAGAAGAATCCTACGTACACTTCCCTGGAAGTCCCATTAAATATAATGGGGCAACTGAAAGCAAACATTTACTTATCAAAATTTATATATTGCTTAATTTAGAAAACCTAAGCCAACAGTTCCTGAACTCCCCCTACCCCAGATTACTTGAAAATTCTTGAGGGTGTTGGTGGACCACTTAATGGTTTTTCTGCCTGTTCTCAAGATAGTACCTTTAACACAAAAGGTTTTAAAATTTGCATTGGTATTGCAATTAAGACAGAATAAGAGCCTACTAGGGCTGTGTTCACACTCCCACTGTGCTCACTGCCATTCTGGTGCAAATGCATCCTGGACTTTGTTACACTACTGTTTTATGAGTTTCTCCCCAAACTAGCTTCACACTGATTGAGAGTCCTTAAGCCATTCACAATTCATCTCCAGCCAAGGTGTGAACACTTCTGCATAGGGAAAAGGTGTCACTGCCTGCCAATGCACCCTAGTGTGTACACAAACAGACACAAATCTTACACTAGTGGAGCCATGTTGATGTGAAAAGCTGGTGAGGGGGGACAGAATGAGCTGTGCTGCGAAATTCATTGGGGCAACGGAAGGGACTTCACTGAGCTTTAAAGTGGTAATGTGAACACACTCTACTATCTGAAAAGCATGACAGCACAGGCCAGTCTGGCCTTGTTTGCACTGTGATGAGCAGAAAACTGCAGTGTGAGGTTAAAGTATCTCATGCTAATGAACCCCACGATGATGATTATACAGTGCCATTGGTGTGCACCGTGTTCTTCTAGCTCTAGCATGTCTCCTCTTAATGGCCTTTTCTCTACACTAAAAAGCCCCAAGTGCTGTAACCTTTCTACACAGGAAGTTGCTATTTTCATCAACAGGAACGAAAGAGTAAAGGCTTGTTTGGTATAATGTTGTAATCATTCAACTTGTTTTTATTATTGCTTGTAAGCCGCTCTGAGCCTGGCCTTGGCTGGGGAGGGCGGGGTATAAATAAAAATTATTATTATTATTATTATTATTATTATTATGACCTGTCAGGGAGACACATGGCACAGAATAGGCTATCTGCAATTTGAATGCTTCCTGGTTTATGGTTTCCCTAGCATCAGGCACATACCTACGCAAGCCACATACGGACTCCACTAATGTTTATGCCTGTTATCCATAAACAAGAGGACCACTGAAGACTAGGTGTCCCTTGTGGTCCTTTCCAACTCTACAATGCTATGATTCTATGAAGAAGATACTGTCTAGAGAACAATAATGTGCCAAATACTGGCACTGCTTTCTTGCAGCACCTTTCCTTCCACTTACAATTGGTTTGTGTAACAGTAATGGAATGCCTTCTCTGCTGAAATACATCACTATTTGTACTGACAATCTGCCGGTTTCTGAAAACACACCTGTTTGCAAGATGTGTCCCTTGATATCTTCATCTGGGGCAACCCACTTAGATGAGCATCATCTGATTTTCCCACCTTTTAATTTTAATGGTACTGTTTTCTAGTGTATTTTAATGGCTAGTCCTGATCTGCAACTCAAGACTTGTATTTAGCCTCATTCAAACCTCTGGCCAACTTCCATGCTTGAAAACCTCTGCTCCAGGGAAGGAAGGCCAGGAACACCCAGAGTCTTACTAGGAAAACTGAACAGCCTGCGCTTCTTCCAACTTGTAAACCCTTTTGGGGGGACTTTCCCCCTCCGCCCACCCTTCTCACCTGCTCCTGGATGTTGCGAACACGCAGGTTGTGCTGCCGGGGCGCGCTGTGCATCTTCTGAACCATCCAGGCGCGGAACTGGTAGTAGATGTCGAAGAGCACGGAGAGGGGCAGCAGGAAGAGGCAGACGAAGACCCAGCGGTGGTGGACCAGCACGTACGCGAGCCCTTTATAGCGGGCCCACAGGATGAGCAGCAGAAGCCCGACCCCGAGAGACAGCAGAGGACCCATCGCGAACCCTCGCCGGACCTCACTCACACGCAACGCGCCTAACAACCCAAGTCGTTCTCCTAATCGGATCCGCTCGACTCCCGCAGCACCCAACAAGCCGGCACAACTTGTTTTGCACAGCCGGCCTCTCCAGTCCCCAGCTGACTCACCTAGCAGCCACCTGCTCTAACAACCCCCGAGACCCCGCTGCGCTCCGCCGCCTCTTCCCACGTACAACGGTCAGCACCGTCTTAGCAGCGCCGCCGCCCTATGCAACGCAAGGCGGGCACTCGTCCCTCTCCTCGCAACGGGGCAAGCCTCTTTACAGAGTATGTTTGGAGACCCGAGTTCAGAAGAGCCGCGTCGGGGACACGCGCGCCCCTTCCCCACGACCGTGTCACACTCGCTCGCGGACCCCAGCTCGCGAGTCAACCGTTCCTCGCGCTCCCCTGGACAGCCGAGCCGAGCCAACGTTCGGCGCTTGACACCCGGCGCTCCGCCCCCGGCCCGACTCGAAGCGCAGCCCACCTCCCTCCTGGTTGGCCGGTCGGGCTCCTCGGCGGTGAGGAGAGGGACGGCGTCCAACCAATGGGGTGGCGCCGTTTGGATCGGATCAGGCGCCGAGTGGCGGGATTGGCTGGCGAGGGGGGGGGGGGGGAGCTAAACACCCGTACCGGCCGGGTGCCTCGGAGCAGCACGAGGCCAGTTGGCGGTGCGAGCGCCGCGCGCCGCCTCCCGCCCTAGGTAGGCATGCAGGCTGGGTGCTCTCGCCATGGGAGGGGTGGGGGATGACGCTGCAAGGCATGCTTTTTTTGTATGGAGGACCCAACCCCCGGTTCTGTTCGTGAAATGACGAATAGTGACCCGTCTCTGGTCCTGTGGAGGGTTCCCCGCAAGCCATGCAACGGGGGAATGCCCGTCCTAAATTGCAACCAGAACAAAGAGGCCTCTTGCTCGGATACCGAAACATAGGAGAGGGAAATAACGTTGCAATCCTTTACACACCTGAGAGTTGATCGGTATAGGATTGCGCTTAGGTATTTTTGCAAATGTGCCTCCTCCTCTGCTCATGGGACAACTCGCATGCCAAGGGAGAATTCCCCCTGCCCTGCCTTGCTTGCACACGCAGATACAGTTCTGTGGGCTCGGAAATGCAGTTGGCACGCTGGGGTGAAACGGCAGCCAGGGTCTGGAGCAGCACCAGGGGGGCATCCTTTCAGGCCACGTGCTGCCTGGTGGCACCTCGCCTGGAACGTTGTAATCCTGCCCCCTTTGTCCGGGGCACGGTGCCGCGGCACGAGGCGAACCATCTGCAGCCTTTGGGCGTTCGCCATGTTAGAAGCCGTGTCCAAGTTGCTTGCTAAACAGAGAGCTCTCCACTTTTTAAAAAACAACTCCAACAAATGCAGTGTCAAATCACACCTGGAAGGCACGATTACAGACTGGACTATGAAAAACGTGGATCCAACTTTACCGCGCTGCAGCACCACAAAAACATGGATCCGAGGCACGGATCCTCATGAATTCATATGATTTTTATATTGAAACAAAATAAAAACACCATGATACTGTAGACCACATCTTAGTCTGTAGGCAGAACCAAAAAAATCACGCATCCACTGTTTCGTGGTGCCGCAATGGGGCAAAAACATGGTTAAAAAACACGGATCCTCATGATTTTTGCACTAGATCAGCCCAAAGTCGCCATCAGATCAAACATCATGGCCATCGGCACAGCATGCAACACAAAAATCACGGATCCACGGCTTCCTGGTGAAACCGTGGCCCAAAAACGTGGTTTGGAAGCACGGATCCTCATGGATCCTCACACTTTTTGCATTGGGCCACCCCAAACTCACTGTCAAATCACACATCATGTCCAGGGGCACAGCCTGCACCACAAAAATCACGAATCCACAGCTTCCTGGCCGTACCGTGGCCCAAAAACGTGGTTTCGAAGCACAGACCCTCATGGATCCTCATGCTTTTCGCATTGGGCCAACCCAAACTCAATGTCAGGTCACGCATCATAGCCAGGAGCACAGCCTACACCACAAAAATCACGGATCCACGGTTATCTGGCCACTCAATAGCTCAAAAACTCCTGCAGGGACTCCCCACACTGCGGATGTCTGTCCGGGACGCGGGGCGCTCTGCTTCAGGGCGCCCCGCCCGCCGGGCGGCAGGCTGCTATCCGCAGCGTGGGGAGCCCTGTGGGGAACTCCTGCAGGGCTCCCCACGCTGTGGAGGTGTTCCCGAAGCGCCGGGTGCTCTGCTTTCAGGGCGCCCGACGCTCCGGGAAGCAGGCTGCTATCCGCAGCCTAGACATCCCTGCGGGACCTCCTGCAGGGCTGCCTAGGCTGCGGATGTCTTCCTGAAGCCTGGAGACCGAGAGGGGTCGGTGTGCACCGACCCCTCTTGCTCTCCAAGCTTCAGCGAAAGCCTGCATTCGCCCCATAGGACGCACCCAGATTTCCCCTTCATTTTTGGAAAAAGTGTGTCCTATAGGGCGAAAAATACGGTAGTTCCGTTCCTCCTTAAAAGAGTCAGGCATGATTGTTGTGTGTCACCTGCCTGTTTACTCCCAGCACTGTTCTCACTGGGAACTTCCGTTTTGTATATAGCTTTTGTTCTGGCTGTTTCCTCGACAGGGATGCAAGCAGTCATGTTTTTCCTTTGTTCTGACCTACGTTGAATAAAGCTGTAAATACTCTCTTCTGTCTGAATCTTCCGTTGTGGAGACTGCTGAAAAGGGCGTGCATGAGTCTTGGAATGTGTCTGAGGCTCGTGTCACTAATTGACTGATGCTGTTTCCACGGGAGACCGGTGATCGTCTGGAGACGACGTGGAGGCCTGATGCCTCTGTTTCCCTGGCAGTATCCCAACAAAAGCATCCATTATTGCAGCCTGTGAACAAACTATTGGATACCAAACCAAGAAACACCAGGACTGGTTTGATGAGAATGAAAGTGAGATTGAAATGCATGATTGACAAGAAAAGGAAGGCATTTCAGATCTGGCAAAGAGAAAGAAACTGTGCCACTAAGAAAAAAACCCTATGCCAATGCTAAGAACCAGAGAACTAAAAAACACCTGGTGGATTTAAAAAAAAAAGCTCAAGAGATCTAGCACTCAGCCGACACTCATGATGCACAGAGTTTCTTTAAAGCCACAAAGACCACCTATGGACCAATAAATCATGGCATATGCCCCCTACGCTCAGCAGATGGTACCACACTTCTAAAAGATAAAGAAGCGTTTGCACTGTGCTGGAAAGGACACTACCAACATCTCCTTAACCACAACTCCCCCATAGCTGCTGAGGTCCTCTCACAAATCCCACAAAAACAAATTAGAGATGAACTTGCTGTATCTCCAAATCTGGGAGAGTTGTGTACAGCTATTAACCAAGTGAAAAACAACAAAGCCAGTGGACCTGATGGGATACCTGCTGAAATCTTCAAAGTGGGTGGAATTGAATTTACACAACAACTTCACAAGCTCATCAAAGAAATCTGGGAGAGAGAAGCGATCCCAGCAGGCTTCAGGGATGCCAAAATTATCAATCTCTTTTAAAAAAAGGTGACAGAACTGATTGCAGAAACTATAAAGGCATCTCTCTATGAGCTGTGGCTGGCAAAATTCTTGCAAGGATCTTAGCAAATCATCTCTTAACATTATCCGAGGTGACCCTTCCTGAATCCCAAAATGGTTTTCAGCCTTCTATGGGGACAGTGGACATGATTTTCACAGCTCAACAACTTCAGGAAAAATGCAGAGAGCAAAACCAACCTTGGTACTCACACCATGCCGCCAGTTCTAGTTGGTGCATCCAGCACCTCAGGGGCTCCCCTTGCTTGCTTATGAGAAGAACTGGCTCTTGGGGCCGCTAGGGGCGCATTGGAAGATGGCCGACAATACCATCTCTCCCGCTCACACGAGGTAATTAAGAAGCTAATATGGGAGTAATTAGCCTCCCGGGTTTTCCCAGGGGGAATGGGAAAACGCTGCCTCGTCTGCGGATGCCTATAAATCACCCCCGAGTTCGAAAGAAGGAGGGGGTGAGGGCACTGGACAGAAAGCCCTTGTGTGAGTTTTTTGCTCTCCCGGACGCTACTTCTGATCGCAATCCTAGTTGCAGGCTCAAGATAAACAATTAGAGAAGAGTACATGCACATGTTTTGAGCGAAAGAAAGGGAGTTTTGACTGCTAACTGAATCGACCTCTGAGAAGCTGAGTGACGGGTTGGATTAAACAGAAAACTAAAGAAGATTACATCAAAGATGTTGGTATGTTGAAACGGAGCGGAAAGGGGGGGAGGGCTTTTCTTCTATGTGATTTACCTAACAACCCCTCCCTAAGAAGAACCGTCGCATAACCGATAACAAGAGAGATAGAATAATAAACTGTGTGGAAATGAATAATTGACTAAAGGCTTTATTTTGTGGAAGATCTGGAAAGGAAATGAAAGGCTTTTGGATGACGCAGTTCTAATGGAGAACGGCCATGACGAGACAGGCTTTGTTGCAGGATTTACGGTCAAGAGGGGGAGGAAGCCACGGCTTTGCTATCAAATCTGAGTTCTGCGTTTGACTTGGCAAGAACTCCCCTGAAAAGATTGATGTCGGAGCAACAGGTCTGGGAAAGTTAATGAGCAGACGCTTAGGCTGTATTCTATGGAAACGCTGAATAAAAGGACTATAATAATGTTTGTTTCAACTCACTTGTGGAGACTTTCAGAGGTTATAAAGAAAGGAAAAAACGATAACAAGAAGATTGGAAGACGATTGGTAAAGGATAACAACAAAAAGATGGAAAGATAGAACTGTGAACATCAAAGCAGCACAAATATGAGAGGATTGGACCCTTTCTGAGCTCGAAGCATGGGTACCCCCAACAAAAAATTAAAATTTGGCTAAATATTTGGAAATATTTGGAGTTTATTATGTATTGGTATAATTTGGAATTAATGTGATTTGATTGGTTTGTTAATAAAAATTATTTAAAAAAAGAGAGAAGAACTGGCTCTGCATTCCATACAAAATGTTGTTGTGCCTGCTGTTTGCTACAGAGACTGAACATTCCTTACCCCAGGTTTTGGCCCTGCCCAAGAACCAGTTAAGCACTTCTATGCCCCATTCATTTAAACTGCTGAATAAATTTGGCCCTTCCATGAATAAACTTGGCCCTTCCATGAATCCCATTGAAATCTATAACATTATTATTATTCAGTTGTGTCTCAGCATATTTATGGGAAATGTCACTATTACAAAGTGTTTGAAAGAAGAGTTTGGACTTGATATCCCGCCTTTCACTCCCCTTAAGGAGTCTCAAAGCAGCTAACAATCTCCTTTCCCTTCCTTCCCCACAACAGACACCCTGTGAGGAGCTGCATGTGGATGGGTTAGTGTATACATAGAATCATAGAATCGAAAAGTTGGATGGGACCCCAAGAGTCACCTAGTCCAACCCTCTGTTGTGCAGGAATCTCAACTAAAGCATCCATGA